GATATCTTCACGGTCGATATCACAGTGCGTTATATAATTATTTCGTTTTTCTTTTCGTAACCAATTATGCAAAGCACATGCTGCTAATACGATTTTATCCACTGTATTCACATCAGTAGCGATAGGTTTTTGAAAAATACGAAATCGGCTTACTAATATTCCAAAAGCATTTTCAACTATCCTCCTAGTTCTGGATAGTCGATAGTTGAAAACTTTCTGTACCAATGTTAAATTGTCACCTGGGTAAGGTTTCATCATATATGGTTTTAACAGAAATGCACCATTGGCAACAATCACTCCACCATTTGGTAAAAGATTATTCTCTAGTTTATTATAAATAGAGCAATTTCTAAATACACTTCCATCTGATGCCATGCCACATGCACCGACATCAATATATCGGAAACAATAATCGTCATCTACTATTGCCATAAGAACAATACTGAATACTTTTTTGTAATTAAAATATATACTGCCACTGTTGTCGGGAGCTACAATTTGTATATGTTTTCCGTCAATAGCGCCATAACATAGTGGAAAGTTCCATCTGTTTTTAAATCCATTTTCTATTTCCGCCCATTCTTCGTTATTTGTCGGGAGCTGTAAATATTACAATTAATGAAATCCAAAGTAAAATAATGTATATTATCGAATATATAAATTAATATTAATTTTTTAAATTGTGTGTGTATGTTTATACTTCAATGAAGACAATTTTTTTTAAAAATTTTAGGACAGTCAAGAGTTAGAAACAATTGATGAAATTTTAGTTAACAATGAATGACACGCTCCGTTTTACTTGATACGATTAGTCGTGTTCGATATAACATACAATAAGTCGTTGCGTGTAACAACAAATTTTTAACGGACGTCATATCGACGTTCGTGTGCCCGCTTTAGTACGTGCGTTAAAAATTACGTTTGTCGAAACGCGCGTACTTTGAGCGTCCGTGTGGGCTCTGCCTAATATGTACTACAGTATATTTTATAGAATTATAGAAATGATAAAAAAAAAACCAGAACCCCAATGCCAGCTGTACATAACAAAGATAATGTTAGTTATTATTTAAATTATCTAACATTATTATACGCCCTAAAAATAACTGATGTATTTTTCCACATTATCGGATTATCGGAATATTCGTAACGACTCTCCGGATTTCGATCTCCGTCAGTCCATCAGTCCATCCTCATTTAATAATAATCGACTCTATGGCAGTGTCTTTGTGTGCATGTTGACGATGTTGTTTGATATGTAATTATTGTGATTTGTGAATTTCATTAATATATATTATGTAATTTCTCATTTGTAAGAAAGTTCTTACTACACGACTAATGATTTTTTTTGTTTAATGATTAGTTTTTATTTGTAACTCGTTTTTTAAAATAAAATAGCGCGAGTTACTTAATAGCATTTTTTAATTCTTAAAAAAAAAGAAGGTAATAGAAAAAAAGAAAATACAGTATTTACATATTTTTTTAAAAAAATCGTAATGATAAAGAATGCTGTGATGATGTAAGTACTTTGATCAATTTATATATTGTTTTCATAACTCAAATTTTGATTTAATTTTAAATTTTAAAGGATAATCTTAATCAAACTAATAAAAAATAAAATATAATGAAATAACTCTGTGACTGAATATTGTATTGTTAGATCAGTCTTCATGTTCAACATTACAACAAAAAAAAGTAATAATAAATATTACTTAGTAGTTTAATTTAGTGTTGATTATATACAAAAAATTAGTTACCTACTGCATTAGGGCCAACTAATAATACTATTTGCTTAATTGCACTAATACTTTGCTAATATTGCTATGTTGGATACAACATAATGAATAAATAATACAAAAATATTGAATGTTGACTTCTTTAATTTTTAAAAAACTGCTTTAAATTTTGATTATTGTTCTTCCTCAGGATGAAATTATTGATAATGAATTGGAAACTCATTTTAGATCAAATGATGTAGGGCTATTTGCTAATTGTACACTTACTGACTGTGATACAAAGCTTGCAAGTTAAATGTAGTAGTGTAAGCGGCTATAATAAGCTACTTTGCATTCTAAATCTATTATTTTATTATTTCACTAGCAATTAACATAACTATATCATCTACATTTTATTATGCAGTCCTATATCTATATTATGTCTAATTAAATTTAATATATGATATTGGCTTAAAATTGCAGATGCTATGAAAAAACAAGGACAGTTTAAACATATATGCAAAGATGAAATAGAAGAAATCATAAAATATGATTTGGTTCAAGCTCCATTTGCTATCAAAAGACTCCTACAAAAGACAATCAACTAAATAATTTTTTCTATTTTCTATTAAATCTTGTTATGATTCAACAAAATAAACAAAGATAATTTTAATACAGTATTTCTAATTGATTTAGATTTTTATGATTACCTAATCATATATTATAATATAGTGTGTATTATGAGCAATGTGTAGCGTAATGTCTGGCCATAGTCACTGAAAAGTGCTAGGAGATCACTGGGTCTTTAGTGACAAACCTATGTCCCACATACACAAATGTGTCTCCAACTCATGCTCCCCTACAGTTTCCTCCCTTACAGACAACGACCATAGTTGCCACGGCTTAATAAATAAATAATT